TAAAATTTCATGAAAATGATCTGACAATTGATAATCTCTTTATCATAATCTTTTTTATCATTTTTTTAATCACAAAGAATTTTTATTTAATATAAATCTCTTTTATCATTTTTTATTTAAATTTTTATTTAATATAAATTTTTAAATTTTTATTTAATATAAATCTTTTTATTTAATATAAAAATTATCTTTTTATTTAATATAAATCTCTTTTATCATTTTTTTAATCACAAAGAATTTTTATTTAATCTGTAATCTTAGCAATAAACATTTTCGAAATCAAAGAGATCACGAATATCTAGGATAATTACATTTACCAAAAGATTATGTAAAAAGATTTGATAATTATTTACTTATATAGACCATCTCCCGATTTCAATATATCTCACATATCTTATCAAGATCATCACTCTGAGTAATGTTGTGAAGATTTTAGTCGGCGGTCATTTATTAAAAAGATATAAACAAAAGAAATTTCAGAGTTCATTAATACATTCACCCGAAAAAAAACGGGCCACTAAATTTTAATGCAATTTTTTCACATTTTTAAATAGCGATAAATCAGCAAACACTCACCGATCGAGATGAAGTAGAGCTCAAATTAAAGCTTGAACATTTTTCTTAAAAACCAAGAAAACCAAATTTAAATTACAAAAAATATTGTATAAAATGGCAGACGTTGAAGATAACCTTCGAAAAATGGGAAACAAATTATTTTTTTCAACTGTTGCGTTGCTCAGGAGAATTTACACGCTAATACACAAATGTATGAATTTTGAAGCTCATTTATTTCCTAACAAATCCACATTTTGAACAATTTTCTACGACCTTTTTTAATAAACCTTTTTTTATACCGTTTTGAAGAAAATGTTGCAAAATAGGCCTTTTCGCCGCAACGCTTTGCAAGAGGAATCGAACAATTTAAAACAAGAAATTTGATTAAGAGTATATTCCAACAAATCGAAGGATTGATGCATGCGAAAGGAGGCAATACGCATTATTAAACCCACGCGCGCACGCACGCACACATACACACACACACACACACACACACACACATGGGATCAAATTCTTGTCATGTCCACGTCATTGACCCTGGATAATGCCGAGAGCAGGATACATGCATATGCATATGTACACGCACACACACATACAAGATTTAAATCCAACCATATCTCGGATCATCTTGGATCGAGTTACACTTTAATTTCTTTTATTGAAAAAATTTTTCTCCATAATTTATTGTTGAATTGTAGATTTTACAAGAAAAGTCCCATTTTGCAACATTTTTTTCAAAACGGTATAACTTTATGAAAAAAGGTCGTAGAAAATTGTTCAAAATATGAATTTGTTAGGAAATAAATGAGCTTCAAAACTCATACATTTTTGTATTAGCGTATAGATTCTCCTGAGCAACGCAATAGTTTAAAAAAAAATTTGTTTCCCATTTTTTAAAAGCTATCTTCAACGTTCACCATTTTATAAAAAATTTTTTGTAATTCAAATTTGGTTTTCATGGTTTTTAAGAGAAATGTTCAAGCTTTAATTTGAACTTCGTTTCATCTCGATACGATGATTATTTGCTGATTTATCGGTATTTAAAAATGTGAAAAAATCGTGTTAAAATTTAGTAGCCCTTTTTTTTGCGAGTGAGTGTACATTTATCGAAAGAAAAGTCAGTTATTACATAATTTCACATAAATTTATAACTTTCTATGCAAGTGAAGTGTATCCCGCATCACAGGTTGGGTTAAGTTATCTTCTGAAAGAACATACTGTACCTATGCATGTACTTCTTAAGATGAAGCAACATTTACTCTTAATGGAGATCAAGATTAAGTAAATGCTGCTTTGCTTTATCTTGAAAAATACATGTGTGGACAGTGTGCTCCGCACCCCTGCGGGCCGCTCCACTTTTAAAAGATATAACCCATGTTTGTGAAGCGGGATACACTTCACTTTTCATACACAGTAGAAAATATTAATTTAACAGAAGGCAAGTATGTAAACAAATAACACAAGTAATATGTTTGAAAATTAACACAAAAGTGTAACACTTAAATTTTATCTGGAAATAAAGTTTATGTTAAATTAACATATTTATAATGTTAAATTTAGTTAAAAGAAAATGTTATTCTTACATTTTTATCATAAATAATAGAAGAGATATGTCGATTTAACATATGGAAACAGTTATAGAGAGAAAAATAACACAACTTATCTGTTCATTTTAATGTTACGTCCAGATCCTGAAAGGATGAGCTGTATGGAAGAACGTAACTTACTTACCCCGTGACACACTTTATTCGGGCGTGTGTATGGATCGGGTCGAACGAATGTGAAGGACCTGACACAGGTCAGCGACCGAAGGTCTCTTTAACTCTGTGTTTTTACGCCTATTCGTTCGGTGGTCCCTTTTCAGTAAAGGAATTTAATCCTTGTTACGCGGGATAGGACCTAGTGCGATCTCAGGGTTTAGGGAAAAGAACGGGTTAAATAATTAAATTCTATAATACATTAAATTAAAAATACATATATTATATAAAAAAATAAGGAAATAAAAATACATCTTAGCAGTGTAGTTATGCATGAGTGAGTATGTGTATATATATATATATATATATATATATTCTCGCGTATGTATTATAGTTAGAATTAAAATTTTCTAAATTCGCTGAAGCACAGGTCCAAATTAAAATACAATAATAAAATTTTAAATAAGAGATTCGCTAAGTCTAGGTTCAAAAATTATTTATTTAGTTATTTCAAATATTATTTATCTATTTCAACGGTTTCTTCCAAAAGTAGTGATAATACAAAGAAACTAATAGAGAGAGAGAGAAAAGAATAAGAGAAAAAATTAAAGGAAACTAGTGGGATGGATTATTCTTCGGAATCTTCGGAGAGCGGAAGAGTATTCGCGAATTCCAATGCTGAAATCCAGAACGAATAAATAAGGAAATATTCATGAATTCCAATGCCGAAATTCAGAATGAATAAATAAAGGAAATATTCGTGAATTCCAATGCTGAAATCCTGAACGAATGGATAAAGATCTTAGGAGATTTATTCGCGAATTCCAATACTGAAATCCAGAGCGAATAAATAAAGGAAATATTCGTGAATTCTAATGCTGAAATCCTGAACGAATGGATAAAGATCTTAGGAGATTTATTCGCAAATTTCAATGCTGAAATCCAGAGCGAATAAATAAAGGAAGTATTCGTGAATTCCAATGCTAAAATCCTGAACGAATGGATAAAGATCTTAGGAGATTTATTCGCGAATTCCAATGCTGAAATCCAGAACGAATAAATAAGGAAATATTCAACAATGTTGCTTTCTCCGTCACACTTGACAATCATGATAGACAGCTTGAAAAGATAAGCGGACCCAAAAATCAAGAGTGAGCGAGACAGTAATTGATGCGAGCGAGACAATTATAAGAGCGAGCGAGACAATAATAGATGCGAGCGAGACAATAATAAGAGCGAGCGAGACAGTAATAGATGCGAGCGAGAGGAAAATAATAGTGTGAAAGGAAGATTCGATTTTGGAGTTCGAGTCCTCGTTGCTCATGCTATTTTTTGTTCGCTCTTTTTATTTTACTCGTTTTTATTATCTTCTTGCTTCTTCACGAAATTTTCGCATCACTTCCCAAGTAGCAAAATGACGTCATAATGACGGTTAATTTTGGTCATAAAATGACCAATTAGACGTCCTAAATTAGGTCTCATAAGACCCGAAAATGACGTCGATATGTCACATCCATGGGACGTCATTTTCTGACGTCCTATTGACGGCAAAAATAGGACCAATATATGACTTAATTAATAAAATTTTTGGCGTTTTTAAACGCCAAAAATTCAGTCAGATTTGATCGATCCGGGATAGTTTATTAGACGTCATTGATTAAGAATGTAACCATATATTCTTCAGAAGAATGGTTGTGATTGATCAATGACATCTAGTAAACTACTCTGGATCGATCAAACACGAACATTCAAAAACGCCATTTGATATTTTTTAACAATATATAACAATATATAACAGTTTTAGACATCTTCTTGATAGTTTAATAGATAACAAGATCACTATATGAATAGTTATCATAAAATATGTTAGAAGGATATTTTTATTCTTAATATGATAATTATTTCATGCATTGGTCATGATAACTATCAAAAAGATGTTCAAAAAACTGATATTATATAGATTATTAAGACATTTTTCCTGCAGATAAAACACAACATATACTTATTGTTTTATTTAATCATTGTAAAGGTTTTATATTTTTTAATAAAAGAACATTTCGTTTTTTAGATAACTCATTTTAATAAAAAAGATTTATACAAAAGATAAATAAAATCATTTATTTTAATTAATAATTCTATTACTTTTGATAATTGACAAATCTTTTCTTTTTAGTTCTATCATACTAACATCACATATATGTTACGTTATAATTATAATGTACGCAAATGTTTAACAAAAATTATAAGCGAATTCAACGGTTTGATGACTATTTATATTAGATAAATATCTTACACACATACAATATCAATATTTAAAAAAAATAACAATATTTATAAAGAAAAAAAATATTTATGATAAAATACATAAGCATACAAAATAGGAACATAATTTATAAAGAGAAAATATATTTATAGAAAATATATTTATAGATAATAATTATAGAAAATATATTTATTGAAAGGATGCGCGTTATTGCTTGAACAACATAATATTTAAATTCTAATCTTAAACTATATAATCTTATAGACTAATCAGATAAAATAAAAATAAACATGAAATCTCTTTGAAATATATAATTACAAAAACGTAATATAAAATGAAAATTTTGTTTTTAGTAGATATACGAAAAATTAGGAAAAATATTTATAAAATATACTTGGAAATATTAAAGAGATACTAGGAAAAATTAAATCCTAAAAATTTAATTTATTATATATTTGTTATAGACTATATTGTTATAGACTATAATAGTTGTGTAATATTTGATTAATACTGAGATCTAAATTAGAGATCTGAGATCTTGACTTCCACAGTCATAAGTTTCACTAATACTAATGAAATCATTTAAGTTGTGATTAAAATTAATAGCGGAACTATCTTGGATTTTTGCTTTTTTAATTCCTATAATATTTGTACTTAAATCGTGAATTCTATTAATATTATCATCAATGTCATGTTCATGTCTTTTTTTATTTGTCGGTATATTTTGACTGACCTTTTTTTCCTGTATCTCCTTCCAAGTATTTCGTATATCTACTGCACTTCGTCGATATAATTGGCGAGTACTTACAATATTCTTTTTTTTATATTCAATTTTTCCAGCCATTTTTTAATTTTTTTCCTTATCAGAATAAAAATTGTCTATTCTATTATTATTATTTTCGTCATCCTGCTTTTTTCTTTTCATTTGATTTTTCTGTCTGTCAGGAGCGTGCTTTAGCCAAATCTTAATACCATCCTCTATTTCCTTGTTAGTCACTCCAGATGTACGTTTGATGGATTCTAGAAAAAATTAACAGATCATACATGTCATTAAAAAGCATTTTCTAGAAGAGTATTAACATTTCAAGTAGAAAAATATATTGATATGATATATAAGTATCACATGAGTGAAATATACTCACCTACAATTACAGTCTTTAAGCATAAATCTGAAAAGGGTCGTTTATTTAACCTTTTCCCATAGAAACTGAATTCTGATGCTAATGCATCTGTAAAAAGGTATCTCAAAATTCTTGATATTTTTGTAGAGATATCTCGTCCACCAATTGTACATAGAAAAGCAGTCTGAAAACATCGCAAAAATAAGATTTCACAACATGCACTTTTTAATATTATAAGAAACAAATATAGTATAAAGAATACATACACATATACATATACATATACATACATATCCTTTATGCTATATTATTTTCTTACAATGTTAAAAAGCATGTGTGAATATTATATATATATATATATATATATATATATATATATATATATACATATATAGTAAAAAAATAAAAATTTTATATACCAAAATGTCTATTTGTGTTTTATCTGTAAGTGTTTGTTCTACATGATGAACATCATGTAAACTTTTCATAGGAAATTCAAAAGCAAAATTGTTTTGTAAGGGCAGTATTTCTTCTTTATTCCGCAAAAGGGCTAACATCTGTGAATTTTGTGTTTTTATGAGAGTTAAAAGCTTAACCTTTAAAAGAATAACCTTTTTTTGGAAAACTGAAAAAATCGTTTTAAGAAAAATTTACATTATTGTATTGTATTAACTTTTAAAAAAAATTTATTTTTTTTTATCTTTATACATCTTTCTCTCGCTCCTAGAAGGAGCGAGAGAAAGATGTATAAAGATCTATTAATAAGTAATAAAAATTATATTTCTAAGTTTTTTAATAAATTAAATAATAATTTAAATAAGAAAGCATTCATTTCGTTCTTTGTTTATATTTTGTTAATATTAAAATATTTCAAACACTTATTTGTATTACTAAATGTAAAAAAAGACCTTAAGCAAACAAACTATAAATATAAGAAATATAAAAATATAAAATATAAAAAATATAAAAATATCATACCTATTGATTCTGTTAAACTATCATCTGTAGATGTAGTATGTGGTATTTTGTACGTATAAAATCTACTATTTTTATCTACATAGTCCGGAACGGATCTTACTGTAATCGTATTATACGAGTTAAGTTTTGAAATATTACGTACAGTTTGTTCTATTACTTCAGTTCTACTACTAGCAGAATCTGCATCGGGAACAGAATCTGGGGTTTTCGGCGAAACTACATCAGATGAATCTGTTTCAGAAAAAAATTTTATAATGTTAGACAAATGTTTATAAAGTTATATATACATAAATGTTATTAGCAAAGTAGTATTAAATTTACTTATTATTTTAATTATGTATAAAGAATTCATTCAAAATTATGTAGATAAGTAGAAATAGTAAAAAATTTCAGCATTATTTAATGAAAATTTTCTTTAATAATGGAAAAATAAAATATTAATAGTATTATATTAAAATTATAATATTATATTATATCATATAAAATTATATATATATATTACTGCTAAAATTATAATAATTTACATTGATCAGAAATCGGAATATTCTTTCCAGTATTTTTATTTGTATTAAAAAATTTCCTTTTTAATTTTGGAGGCCGAATATAAATATTATCATTTTCTTCCTCATCACTTGATATAAATCGACGGGGCACTGTTATTTTTCTTTTAGAAATCTCAACCTCTTGATTATCCATTTGCAAATCAGATGTAACTTCTGACAATTTACATTTTTGTTCAGCCTTTTGTAAATCATCTAAAATAATTCCATTAATCAAATATCTATATTTCAAAACAAATGAACTTATAATGAAATGATTATAATTACTACTAAATTTGCTTTTGAAAACATAGAATGGAAATAGTAAATGATAAATTTTAGTAAAATACATAAATACATAATTTTTAATCCCACAAGTTAATAGAACTTAAAAATCTGAAATATTAAATGTAAATATAAATGTTCAACTATTAATTTTTTAATTATAAACGTTTTCCCATATTCTTTTCTTAACTAGATATTAATTTTAATTTAATAATAAGTAGTATAGAAACCATAAATAGTAAGTAATCTAACAAACAGTGTGCAACATGATTTTGTTTATCAAATTATGAGTAAAAATATTATAAATTAATTTTTCTTTTAATATTATATTATTAGATATTCATTGATATTACAGGAATTATATAGTATGTGTAATATTTAGAAATATTTTAAATTATAACAAATTGCTTTTTAGTTTGGATTTAGATAAGAATTAGATTTTTAATTTTAAATTAAAAGAGATTATATAAAATAACATAATACATTAATCAAGTTAGGGCCATTCGAGAATTCATTGTACATGTCTCATTGCCAGTTGCCAAAGCATTGTGATCCAATTAGCGTCAAGCTAATTCGACATTTGCAATGTATTCTGGAATGGCTCTTAGTTTGCATAAGTAAATTAACTTATATAAAACTTTATCACAATATTTTTTATTTCTATAAATAATTAGTAAAATATTTTATGCTTACCAGTTTCATATAAACATCTCACTATTGAATAAAGTTTCCACTTTTCAGTATCTGGATATAATGTATTTTCTAATACTAGGTGGCCAAAAAACTTCTCTTTTTCGAGGAGTTATCCAAGTCTTTCTTACCACTGCAACACCACCTCCATCATCAAATTCAATTAATACATAAGACATAGTGATGTCAAACTGTTCGTATTGATTAGCATAAAAAGTATCATGTAATCCTACAAGAATAATTTTTTTTATAAAAAAAACTTAAAAAATGCATGCAGATATAATTACATTATTGTTATCTTTAATGTAACCTAATCTAATTTTTCTCAGTTTTTAAGAAGATAAAATAAATAAATATAGGTTAAGACACAACAAAATATCAAACTAGCTTGAGTAATACTTATACATATGCATCTTTACAATAAAAAATAACATAAATTACTTACTTGTAAATTAACTGCCGAGTAAAAATTACGATGCACGTACATGCAATAACGTGTTCACACCACAATCACATATAGGACTGCGGTCCAGAATAAACCTGCGCAGCACTTTTACACGCATGCGCGAATATGTTATATTATGTATATGTATTGTATTGCATTTACTGTTATAATATGATTGCGTTTCGAAATTACTAATAAAAATCTCTAATGTACATAACGTGTATTTACATACATTGTTAGCACTAATTTTTGTTGCTTTAATCATAAAATTCTGTGAAAAATATATTAAAATTAATTTTGTAATTTTTATTTCATTATTAATTTATAATTATATATAATATTAACCTAGATAACAAAAGTAGTTATTTTGATGCGATTTGATATCAAAATAACTACTTTTGTTATTCAGGAGAAAAATGAAAACAGTTGTTATAAGACTTTATATAGATGTCTTTAGAACAGTTGTTATAAGACTTTATATAGACGTCTTTAGAACGTCTTTAAAATGACGTCTTTAAATGGTTTAAAAATGACGTCTTTTAAACATCCATCGTTAGTCGCTGACGTCATAGACCAAAAATAGACGTCATTATGTCGTCTTCTGACGTCACTTTGCTACTTGGGTTTTGTGTATATATGCGTCTATACATACGCATACTCACACCCACCCACCCACCCACTCACACCGACACACACACACACACACACACACACACACACACACATATTGTATATATGTATAACTTACACAGAATATTTTTTACATAACACGTTGTAACGCTGTTTTCTCGCAGCTTGTTACGTCGTTGTGTGACAACAAGTATCTACTACGCGGAATTTGAGAAAGAAAACGCAAGAATTTAATGCTTTAGTGGGCGTGTACATGTATACTAACGTATCCTGTTACACGCAAGATGAAAGAGAAGGATCCCACAGGGCACAAAATACTAAAAGACGACGAAAAGATGTCTTTTCTAAGTCGACTTTTGGACATGGCGGAAAAGACGTCTTATAGATGTCTTTTCGTTATGTCGAAAAGACGACTAAATCAAGATGTCCTTTCGTCGACCTTTTAAAGTCTAGAATTTGTATGTCTAAACCCAGACAACACAGGACATTCTATGGACATTCATTTTATGTCCATTTTACGTCCGCACGTCCATGGACATAAAATAAACGTCCATCGTACATCCGATTTAAGACATCCGATAATGGTCAATATTTGGACGTCCACAATTTGGATGTCCGGTCTTGGAGGTCAAAGTTTCTCGCAAGCACGCAAGCATGTATTAATTCGTTGGTTTACCGTTACGCGACGTGCGATGCGCTATCTTTCTCGTATTTAAGTTTCAGTTATGAGAATTATATAAAGTTTGCAAAAGATAAGTAAAAGTAAGATTAAAAATGTATTTTCAAAATATATTGTCCAATTTAATTTCTGATCTAAAGCACGGGTTTCAGATATTAAATTGATTTTATAAGTCGGACAAGTAAATGTCCGGCGAATAAACGAAAATAATTTTTCGTTATCTATTTAAGATGTAAAGTGCAATATGCAAGTATAAATTATAAATGAAATTTGTATACAAAATTTTTATGTAAAATTTTATATGAAATAGATAAATTATATTATTATTTAGGGATTGAAATATATATGTTTCATTTAAAAATTATAATATGATTTAGTCGTTTTTTAGTCATCTTTTAGTCATTTTTTGGCTTGATAGATTAGTGACTAAATTCGGGTCATGAGCCGACTTTTAGTCGACTTTTCGTCGACTATTGTCTCTAACTAAAAGACGTCTTTGATAAAAATATGTCCAGTTTTAATCGTTTTTTAGACGTCTTTGTGCCCTGTGGGATGGTACGAGATTGACTCTCCTTGTCACACAAACCGATTATAGCGCCGTCTGTCGTGCTAGCAAGCAACTGTTTTACTTACATGCCTCGATTTCGCACACACACATATGCACGAAATTTTTGTGCACGGAAATTATTTTTACTACGCTTCTAAACGCATTTCTAACTGTTCATTTATATTCCTTCAGGAAATTCCGAGGTGAGAGTGCTCTTATTTTGTACGTACAAACTGCAAAACTTTTATATTTAACTAATATTGTTACGAGTTGATGTCAGAAGCCGATAAAAAAACTGTAATTTTCTATTTTTTTTTTCATTTTGAACATAAAATGGTTCACTCTCATATTTGTTGCTATGTGTAATTTAATTGTGGAAAAGTATTTATTATTCTGTGCAACTAATAAAAAGTTTTCCGTGCACAAAATTTTATCGGTAAAAAAGGAAGGTCCAGCATCCTCTTAATATCATTCCGTACTCATCTGCAGACGTGGGCAACGGTACACTATGCTTGCGATTTTCATTTTTGTTGAGAGTTACACATTGAAATTCTTCCAGAACCTTTTGTAGAGCATCGTCATGAAGAGAAGGAATCGGAGATAAAGCTATGTCGCCTCCCGGAAGTTTCTATAACTACTTCGACCTCCTCCTTGCAAGGTTGTTTCCGCGTCGTCGGCTCATCTTTTGATGCGTCTCGTCTTTTGATGCGTCTCGTCTTGTGTCCTGACATATAATAGCTGTTACATATGATTCCAAGCTGTTTTCGGAGCTGGTAAATGTCTGCGGATATGTTATCGAGCGAAATGTTCACGTATTCTTCCTAAATGTAATCTACATCACACATAGAAAAATCGAAGGACCATCGATGATTGTTTTTTTTCACTGACCTTGTTCATAACGTTTCCATCCATAACAGAACTTTTGCTTTTACAGTCTGTATCCTTGGTTATTTCTCGTGTCAAATGACTGTCGAAGAATCTTTCGAAGTCTTCTTCTTACTGGAACTCGATAAAATTATGATATTATTTTGTGGACTCGTATTCTTATAATACCCGGATCAAATAAATTGACATACATTACAGTCATATAGAAATTGATTTTTTACACTTGAGAAGTGACATTCTGTTGGGTATATTGCGCTACTTCATCCGGTGAGCGTGAATCATACATGACTGCATCGACTGCATCACCCGGATCGGAATGCTCGGAACAATAGAATCACGACGATGATGCATATGACACGACCTTGGCACGATGATGTATATGACACGACTTTGGCACGATGATGCATATGACACGACCTTGCATACGGCACCACAGTAAGAAGAAGCTTTAAAAGGCCGACCGAGAGACGGATCGTCGGAGAAGCATAAGTGTGGTCGACGTGTACGGAGCACAACGTCGTGCTCGGATCTTCTACTACTTCGGACTGTTCGCGGAATCAAGACACAACGACGTTAAACATTATTCGTGAACTAACGAACAAACACAACAATTTGCACTCCGAAACACAACAAAAACACAACACATTCACAATTAATCGTTGTTTGATTTGATATAGCAACTCGAATGGCGAGTGAGAAGCGACAATAACTGTTTGTGTTTGATTTAGGCATACTTCCTAGTAAAGCTTTGTACTTATTATTTCAATTATTATTGATCATAATAATTGAATATTCGACATAAAGTTTTGTACAATGTAAAAATACATAAACTTTTGAAAAATGCAATATTTCTCTACAACAATTCTCCATATCTGTTAATTTATATATGATTTATTTTCATGTTAGATGTAAAAAATTTCATCACTTTTTAATCGAAACTCTTTGAGTTGCTAGTTTTTTTTAAAAAGCGAAAAAACTATGAAATGCAAAGGATTAAATCAGCTCGACGCTATCTTCTACCAACAATATTGATTCCGCGAAATGCGCAATATACTGCTTCACAGTATGAGACAATTAATTTTCTCGATGTTTAATCGATGATTTCCTGCCGTGCTCTCTTGCTCGCTGGATACTTAAATGATAATTCTGTCTCTTTGTATATCCACAATATATACGCATATATGTTTTTAAAATACGTGTAATAGATTTATATAGCTCCCATAAATCTTTCCTATTCTTCCAACGGCGAAGATAAAAAAGAAGAAAATCTTCAATAGTACAAATATTTTTCCTATGTAATCCTTTTGCTGGGAACGATTATCTTATTATTAATAATATCATTCGAAACAGTCATACCAGTGTGCGTATTTTTAAAAAAAATATTTTTAATTAATTGAAAGACACGAAAAAATATATTTTAAGAATTCGTTTGTACAACGAAAACGGTTGATTTATTTCCACTTCATTTTATTAAGAGACAAGTTAAAGAAAGAAACAATCTGATTAAGAAAATGATAATTTTATACTATTTATATTTTAGTCATAAATTGTGTTGGCGATTCGCTCAGAATGTCAGCAAAGAATCGAGGAATCATATCTCGAATTGAATTATATATATTATAACAAGATAGAAAAATGTATGAGAAAATAAAAAAAAAATTTACCATCCTTTTTTTGAAACAACTGCTATTAATTTTCATCTGATTTTCCTCGAATAATATAATATAAAAGTTCAAAAAACCTGAATCTAAATACATTATTTTTTGGATTCTTATAAATAATGAAAAAGATTAATATCTGATTTAGCTACGATGATATATAATTCTATCTATATTCTCGTACAGATTCTCTCAGTTCGTTTTGTTCGTGACAATCGAGAGAGAGAAGAAATCGCTGAAAATTTTGGATGAAGAGTTTATAAACAATGTGGCGAATATGTTCGAAGAACGGTATCGCGGCGTGAGCAAGATGCAGGCGTTTCATTAACTGCTTGCAAATCTGTCCTTGTAGATCGATATGCAATTGCCTCTGTAGTATCAATCATGGCAAACAATCACGGTGCTGAAGGGGGAAGAAAATTTTCAATATTAAGAGTGACCTCGATTAAAGGAATATAGCTAAATGGATCATGTATTAAAACGCGAATCAAAATGAAATCTCAATGAAAATTATGACAACATATTTCTCAAAATTTATCTTAAAATAAAAATTGTATTGAAATTTCTTTATAAAGATTTTATTATCATCATTGTAAGAATTCAACATTTTTTAATTTTCTATTTAGCATTGATAATTTCATTTTTAAAGGATGTGGCAGCACACCGAAAACATTCATTCTTCTGGTCAAAATGTGAATCTAGGTTTCAGCGACATGACCTTGCTAATGCAGATCTTCGCTGAGGCTATCATGAACGGCAGTCATTTCAATTAAAATATACACATACACTGTTGCAATACGAATACGAGTCAATGCGATAATATACCGACGATATGCTCGTTATTGATCGCAGTTCATCTACTTTATCGGT